GTCTCCGAAGGATGTGCATTTAAGTGTTGCAGGGAAATCCGCAACGTGCTGAAGTTAGTGTATTGATAAGAGAGTGCGCGGTTGCACACGCCGAAGAAGCGTAGCATCTGCCTTCTCAGCAGTGTGCGGTGGGCGGTAGGGGGTTATGTGGTTATGCGAAAGTATAACACAAAGCATGGCGAGTTTCTTTCACATCGTGCCTTGTGTTATAGCTTCCGGCTCACGTAGGGGTCGAATCCGTCTGGCCATTGATAAGAGGTACTCGGATCGTCGGCGGCGTCCGTAGTTCAGCGGGCGGCCTCGCAGCACCGGCGCAAAATGCGAATATTTGCCTGTTTGCGCCGGCGCACTCTAAGACTCGAGCAATGTGTGATGCTCCTCTTTATCCACCTTTTCTTCTCTGATGTCCGCCAGGAAGGTGAGCCAGTACTTTTTTATTTTGTAATTGCAACATTTTCGTCTTGTTAGTTGTTATCGTTCAACACTTGAAGAGAGTAATAAAATATTTCTTTGGAATATCACCCCTTCCTGATGTCACCTCTCTGGTTTATTTTCAAACTGTACCTGGTGCCTGTAAATCAGTCAAACATTTTTGTATAAAACCTACTGTGGTCTTTTCCTCTTTGCGGACAAACTGGCGGGCAGTTCTTGTGGCAGGTATCGCTCAAATAAAATCGACAGAGTACCGGCTGATTCCCCACAGAGTGAGGCGCTATTTTCCTGTTTTAGTTGGGCCTATGCTGCCCAAGCGGGTCTTTACTTAACTCAGGATGCCTTTTATCACCAAATTTTCATGAAATGAACGACACGCTGGACCGACAAGCTGGACCACTCAAACATCGTGTGTGTGTGAACGTGCAAAATGCATTCTGTACTTCCTCAGTCTAGGTCAGCATGAACAACCTTACATAAATGTTTAGCTTTTTTCTATTCAAGACAATGTTAGCGATCGCGAACATGACAAAAATACTCAGGATAAAGGACAGCCTCACTCCTGGGTTACCGTGCGAACTTTAAAACAGCTCGACTGCGGACTTGATTTAGCTTCAATGTACGCTTGTTGCGCAGGTGTAAAGATAGCGAAATCTTGGTATACAATAGACGTATCCTAAAAGTTATATTGCTCACCAAGAATTGCAAGGTAAAGAAGAAATTGCCCGTTTGATAAACCAGAAAGGCAACTTTGCGGGTAGCTTGGCGCTACATTCCGAGGATCCAGGTACTCTTGATTAGCCCATAGATTGTTTGCAGGTGACACCGCACAGTGCTGCTTGTAATACCTACTAGTTTTTGACAAGAAATATTAAATTTACGGTGCGAATTCTATGCTTCACAAGGTAAGCGTTGAGCTGCAGTACCATCGAAATGGCAGCTGGTGTAGCGTAAATAGGAGCCGTGCATAAATGGAAAGCCGTAGTGCTTAATTGTCTACTCTCTTACTGAGCACCAGTGCTAGTCACATTTCGGGCATGAGTGCTACAGCCACGTTATGCCCGAGTAATACTAGAGCGATAAACAAAAACAGTTGCAGTCGCTGCGGGTCGTCACAGTAATCGTTCCATTGTCACACAACGAGCAACACTTTAATATTTACACCGCTAAGAATAATACATCGACATTCGAAAGCTTGCAAGGTCAAGACGTTCAATCGTTCACGTTCATCGTCGTCGTCGTCGTTCTTCCTTTCTTTTTCTTTTTCCCCGCTTTTCGTACGCACGTGCCGGGGCAGCTCAGCAGACTTCTTTCTTTTCTACTTCTACTCCCTCTTCGTCTAACGCCAACAGAGGTTTGTCCGACGTTAGTTGCAACACACTCCCCACCGAATGGGTTCGCCCATTCTAAATTTCAGTTACTTCTATTGGATAAAGCAATTGTACCGGTCGTTTCAGCAACAATCCCCTGTTTACACGCACGACACATGAACGAATCTTTCCATCCCGACCCAAAAAGACTTCTTCAATCCTGCCCATCTTCCACAGCAAACGTGGAAGCTGCTCTTTAAGCAGGACAAGCTGTCCAACCTGAATGGGTGTGGATTTCCGTTGCTTGCTTTCATAGGCGGATCGGAGCTCTCTTAGACACTCCGATCGCCACGTCTCCCAAAATCTGTTAAGAACCTCCTTTCTGCGTCTCCAAAGCTGGCGGAGCACCTCAGGTGACGATGCGAAGTCTTTTTTCTCCGCCACCCGAAGCGCCGTCAGCCTTCGTCCCGTGAGGAAGCTTGCAGGAGTGAGCGACTCGCCCTCGTCGATTTCATTGTAGGCAACTGTGAGAGGCCGTGAATTCATTACGGCTTCAATCTCGCACAGAACTGTATGTAATTCTTCCGAGTCCAAACATTTTTTACCGATCACTTTCCTGAGCCCAACTTTCACCGATCGGACGAGTCGCTCGTAGAAACCTCCCCACCATGGTGTCCGCTCAACAATATAGCGCCACTCAATATTCGCGTTGGCGAAGTGGTCTACCACCTCTGGATGTCGGAGCGTCTTCCAGAGTACGGCCAAGTCTTTGGACGCCCTCTTGAAGGACAGCGCATTGTCCGAGTACACGATGCGACACAAACCCCTTCGCGACACGAATCTTCGGAACGCAAGCAAGAAGCTTTTTGTCGAAATGTCCGGCACGAGCTCCAAGTGCACCGCGCGCGTGACAGCACAGGTAAACAAGGCAATGTATGACTTATGCGTGAGTTCATTTTCTCGCACGTGCATTGGCCCCGCAAAGTCTATGCCGACTACCTCAAAGGGATCAGCTTGCGTGGTTCTTGTACCCGGCAAAGGTCCCGTTGGAGCACTGGCAGGAGTGGCACTGAACCTCTGGCAGGTAACGCAAGCATGCACCGCCTTCTTCACCAATTGTTTTCCGCGGATGATCCAGTATCTCTCGCGAAGCTGCATGAGAGTGTCTCGTGGCCCCCCGTGCATCATCTTTCGGTGAGCTTCGATGGTCAGCAAGGTAGAATACCGGTGCTCGTTGGGCAGCACGATGGGTTCACGTTCATCCCTAGTAAGGTTTGCTGATCGGATACGGCCTTTGATCCGGAGCACTCCCTCTTGGTCGACGAACGTTTGGAAATTTCGCAAGGCTGAACCAGGCGGCGCTGCTTTTTTTCCAGGTGCACAACTAATCTCGGAGGCAAACGTCGAGCTTTGTGCCTTCTTTATCCAAACGGTTTGTGCTGCTTGGATCTCCTCAGCACTCAGCGATCCAGTAGTTTTGATTGGTGATCGAAGGTTATGGACAAACCGAAGCACCCAGGCTGTTGTTCGGTGCAGTCTCGCAGCCGAACTGAATCTCGAAATGTCAATGAACTCCACGGATGTGTCTGCAGGCACTAGCGTGACTACAGCTTTCGAAGCTTTCTCCTCGAGCTTGTCGTGGGAAAGCACCCCAACAGTTTCTTCGGGCCATTCGGTTGCTGGAAGCTGTAACCAAGTTGGTCCGGTCCACCAGAGTGCAGCAGAAAGCAGTCGATCAGCTTTCAGCCCTCGGGTCATCAAATCTGCGGGATTTTCCTTACCCGGGCAGTGGTGCCACTTTGCGTCCCCTGAGTCTCCTTGTATCTCCAGCACTCGGTTTTTGACAAACGTTTTCCATTTGGAGGCCTCTCCTCTTATCCAGTGCAAAGTGATCATCGAGTCCGTCCAAAAGTGAACTTTTTCCACCTGGATTTCGAGGCATGTCTTGACGTACTTCAGTAGTCTCGGTCCGATCAAGCTTGCCATGAGCTCCAGTCCCGCCAAGGAAATTTCCTTCAGGGGGGCGACGCGGCACTTAGCGAGCAATATTGTCGCCTTCTTCGTTCCCCTGTCGTCAGTTGAACACAGAAAAATAATCGATCCGTAGGCGGAAGAGCTGGCGTCCGAGAACACATGCAACGCTCTGTGTATGATTATGTTGCTCAGTCCGCTGTCGTAGTACCTGGGCACGCTGATCTGACCCAGTTTGGTGAGCTCGTCGCACCAGCTCTCCCAGTCCCCCAACAGTTCGCCCGGCAGTGCATCATCCCAACGCAGGTTCCGCTTCCAGATCTCTTGAAACAAAATCTTGGCTCGGGTCACGAAAGGAGAGAGGAAACCGAGTGGATCGTTGAGTTGCGCCGTGGTCTGGAGCACGAATCGCTTGGTGTTTCTGCGTTGGCTTGTAAACTCGACCACCTGTTCTGTTGTGAAAGACAGTTTGTCTTCGTTCGACTCCCAGGCTATACCCAGCACTTTCACCACTCCCGTCAGCTGTCCAAGGACTCTCTCTTCGTATACGTTGTCCTCCAGCATTTTCTTTAGGACCGCGCTGTTGGACCCCCACTTATGAAGCTTCATCCCAGCTGCCCCGAATATTTTGGTCGCCTCGGTTTAGAACTTCTGGGCCGCCCCTTCACTTTCTGTGCCGGTCAAGAGGTCGTCCACATACACTGATTTTTTCAGTTTTTCTGCTGTTTGTGGGAACTCGCTTTCCATAACCTTGTAATGGTGTTGTAGGGTTGCTCCCAATAGGAATGGACTGCATGTGGTACCGAAGGTTACCCTTGTCATACGCCAGACCTCGACTTCTGGGGTAGGTTGGTCTGGGTGAGGCGGCTCTTTATACCAGAGAAACCGCAAGGCGTCGCGGTCCTCCTCGTGTACACCGATCTGAAGGAAGGCTTTCTCGACGTCTGCAATTAGTGCTACCCGATGTTGCCTAAATTTCAGGAGCAGGGCCACCAGGTCTGGATTCGGGTTCGGACCGCCTTCAAGGTTGTCGTTCAATGATCTAGAATTCAGTCCGTGCGAAGAGGCGTCGAACACGATCCTCATTTTTGTCGTGCTGCTACCCTCTCGTAGAACAGCTTGGTATGGCATATAATACGCACGTCCTTCGGAACCGTTTATCTGTTCAACCTTCACGGCCATCCCGTTATCTGCGTACAGCCGGATAGCCTGGTCATACCTTCGCATGAGGTCTGGGTTTTTGCTTAGCTTCCTTCGTAGACTTTCGAGGCGCTTCCATGCCACATCTCAATTGCATTCTAGGTGCACGTCTGTTTTCCAAGGGAGGCCAACCTCGTACCTTCCCTTCGTCTTGGTGATGCTTGCTTCAAAGCGTCGCATAATGTCATTATCTGACTGATCTCGGTCCACCTCTTCGTGTACTCCTGCACTTTCAAGCTCCCAGAATCTCCTCAAGATGGCTGGCTCTTGTTCGTCTGCAGCAGATATGAGCACTATCACCTGGGAACAGCTGACAGTATCGGAAGTCAACTGTGTGGATCCATGTATTGCCCAGCCAAAGGCGGTTTCCACTGCGGTGAGGCTGTTGCTCAGTCGTTGGATCCTTCCTGTTATACATTCCCAGTAATGTTCCGATCCCAGGAGTATCGCTACTCCGCCACAGTCCAGTCCGTTCAGGTCGTCACCCGAAGTAAGCCCGAGTTCTTCCATTTTTTCTATAACGTCCTTCTCAGGGGTAGGGAGTTCTTGCTCGGAGATGGAATGTGTCTCGAGGGCGTCAATCATGTGTTTCTTGCCACTGTGTTGGTTGCGCAGAATCACTTGAACTCTGCGGTACGTTCGTTCCCTATTCTTGCCTCCGAACACTCCGACAGTCAGTATCTCGGTCCCGAGCAGTTTGCAGCCGAGGCTCCTCGATAGCTCTTCCGTGCTGAAGGAGCGCTGGCTACCACTGTCAAAGAGAATCCGAGCTCGCTTTCTCCTGTTTTTGCCTTCCACCCACGCAGTAACCGTTTGTAAGAGTACTGTCGGCTTGTTTTCCTCGTTTACATGTAGGCTAACTGGTGCTTCGTCTTTCTTTTGCTGTGCGTTCAATCCGTCGGCAGATCGTCTCGGAGTATAATCTGGGTCGCACATGCTGAAGCTATGTCTGCCTCGGCACCTGTTGCAGCAGGGTGTACCTCGACACATCCTTGCCATGTGCCCCACTTTCGTGCACCGGAAGCATCTCTGGGTGTTTTGTAGCCTGCGCTTCTTTTCAGCTAGCGTTATCCTTGAGTTGCAGTCGGGTGTTCCATGCTCTTTTGACTTGCAGAAGAAACATTCGAGGCCTTCCACAACACCATGCAGAGCCGTAGCAGTAGAGGTTCGTGGCATGTCGGGATTTGTAGACTTCTTCTGCGCCTCGCGCTTGGTGAAATGGGGTGTAGATTTTCCACCAACGTCCTCTGGCCGTTCTTTAGATGCCTTTTCCTGACTCTCCACCTCGATGTGCAGAAACTCGAGGAGAGTCCGAAGCGCTCTCAGATGTGTGCGATCTGTGGTAGGTCCTAAACTTGTCTGTGACGCTGGTACAGATCTACTAGCGGTGGCACTCTCGGCTTCCCCCTGTAGTGTCTTTCGGTGGTATTCGATGGTCATTTCCCTTGGGAGCGCTCGAAGGAGCACTGGGTAAAGCATTGAACAGTAGGATTCTTCGTTCACACCCAGTGTCTTGAGACCGCGGATGCGAGCTCGCAGGTTATCATACAATCGCCGCAGGATTCTGAAGTTGCGCTGAGGTGGAACACGTTGTATGTCCATGAGGCTTTCCATGTGATCTTGGATTAGCGCTTCTTGATTCCCGAACCGCCGCTGTAGGAGATCGATGGCGTCTGCGTAGCACTCTGCGGTGGGCTGAAGTCCATCAATGGCTGCCGCTCCATCACCTGTTAGTGCCGCCTTTAAGTAGTTAAACTTATCGCACGGTGTCAAGTCAGGGTTCTGGTGGATTGCGGCATCAAACCGGTTCCAGAAAGGCAGCCAGTTTTTCAGGTGTCCGTCGAACTTGATCAGTTCCAGCTTTGGAAGTCTGACCTTCCTTGATGTTGATGCTGCCAGTCTGTCTCCGTTTTCGTTCAACTGACTGGCACTGCCGGAATGCCCCGCTCCCGTCGAGCGCCTTAACTGTCTCTTCAGCTTGGTTACGTACATGGCAATCTTGTCTGCGTACTCGACGACTTGCGCGAATTCAGCATCTCCGTCTTGTTCCGAAACAAGCGGTTCGATGGCGGAGTCGACGTTGTTAAGTTGGCCCTGAGCTAGTGTCAGACGCTCGATGAGCATCTCTAGCTCAGTTACGTTTGGTCCTGGGGCCCTTAGCAACCCTTCCGCGTCGTTCACCAGTCGAGTTACCTGTGACCGGATGCCCTTGCGCTTTTTCTTGAGGACTTCCATTGTACGTGAAGAGTCACTCACGTTCCAGCTTCGAAGTATCCGCAGCGATGTCAGTCCCGGGTTTCGGCACCAAATTTTTGTTGCAGTCGCTGCGGGTCGTCACAGTAATCGTTCCATTGTCACACAACGAGCAACACTTTAATATTTACACCGCTGAGAATAATACATCGACATTCGAAAGCTTGCAAGGTCAAGACGTTCAATCGTTCACGTTCATCGTCGTCGTCTTCGTTCTTCCTTTCTTTTTCTTTTTCCCCGCTTTTCGTACGCACGTGCAGGGGCAGCTCAGCAGACTTCTTTCTCTTCTACTTCTACTCCCTCTTCGTCTAACGCCAACAGAGGTTTGTCCGACGTTAGTTGCACCATGCTACAGCCACGTTATGCCCGAGTAATACTAGAGCGACAAACAAAAACAAACGACCGCGGCAAGTCTGAAACACATGTAGCATGGTCGCGATGGTACCTTTGGCAGGCGTTCAGTCATTCGGTGCTCGTGAAGTAAGCACGAGCGACAAAGTTCATGATGCTCGTGTTTGAGCATAGCCTCCTTTAATATACAAAGCCTGTCGAATCGGGAAAGACTCTAGTTTGAGACTTATCGCTGTCATTTGTTCCTGTTTGTCGCTCTAACGTGACTCTGGCATTTATATTAATTATGTGTCCGCGCTGGCCCTCAATATGTGATGTAGCACATTCACCTCTACGGATTTCCACAGCATGTATATTAGCGTTTCGAACCCCCTTTAAACGGTTTGCAAAAATCGGTTTCTCAAACTATTGCGCCGAGATTTACTACAGTGGTGCGGCAAACTGGTGGAGGCATGAAGTGAAAGTATCAATGAATGAGCTTACCTTTTCCAAAAAAAAAGAAACCGGTTTCTTGTTACTTCTCTTGGCATTCGCAGACGACGTAATGACACTGATCGTCTAATAGTATGTGCAGCCGAAGGATGGAGCAAAATGGGAGGCGAGAGTAAAGCTGCTCTATCCTGGGAAGAGTGGCTCTATTCATTGTTGTGGAAGTGCTCGAGACACGTGCCGCGTGTCACTTCTGGGAAGAACATGACGTCGGGAACCTAGCTCAGTGCTGCGCTGTGCAGCCATGATCTTCCCAAGGGCTGCACGTTGCACGTGCCTCCCAGATCAAAGCACCTTGCGCTACTTTTACGTGGCGAAAGTGTATGAAGGCAGCCAAAGGGAGAGGAGCGCAGCACCTCGACCGGTTTTCTTCTTAGTTTTTCTTCTTAGGTTAGCTTTTGAATTAATAAATATCGCTCTTTCAGAATTAAACATTGCAGAGACTGGAGCCCGTAGTCAGATGTTTCCAAAGATCGTCCGCAAAGCTCTACGCCTGTGCTAGAGAGCCTGGATTCAAGAGAGGGGTTGTCTGGCACCAGGGATGGGCAAAATACATGCAAATATGTATTGAAATAAAAATACAGAATACTTCGTCAAAAATGTATTTAATTACAAATCTAATTGCATTTCCAAAAAAGCATTTAAGTACAGATATAAATACAACCAAATGTATTTGGTCTCCTCCAAATACTTTTCCAAATACATTCCTCAAAGTTTGCGTCAGCGACTCCAGGGTACCTGCAACGGGTTTCCGGGTATCTCATTTTAATTTTGCATCGCACACACGGGAGTTAGTGTGCGAGACTCTAGTGACGTAATATAAATATAATGACCAAAAATGTAATCAGCTTGGACGTAATAGGTAAAAAAAATACAGAGCTTCAAGCAGCTTTTCTTGTGGATTATACATTTTGGTAGAGACCAGGAGTGGCCAAGCTGCGGCTATTCGCGTGCTAAGGTGCGGCTCGCGGCTCCCTCCCCTAACCCCCCCCCCCCCCCACACACACTCACACACTCCCCCGACTCCTTTTCCGGTTTAGTATGTTCCAGGAAAAATATGGATAAAAATCAGGCTAGAAAGCATCACAAGTTGTCACAGGCACTTATTTAGCCAGCCTGCCTGTGAACGTTAATTTCGTCACTATTCTTGACCTGGGCTAGCACCGTAATCACAAAGTCACTAAACGCTTGTGCTTGATTGAGAGACACTGCATTCGGTGCAGAACGTAGTTTTCTTCCTGCTCTGGACAGTGACAATAAACTTGAGGGATGTATTTTCGCCCACAATGTTGTATTTAATTACAATTGTTTTTGAAATACCCACGTTTTAGTATTTAAATACGCACTTCAAATACATTACCCAATTTGTAATTAAATACAAATGCAAAATATACAAAGTAGTTAGAATACCTATTTCAAAAACTTGTATTTGAAATACTGCCCATCCCTGTCTGAAACCCTGCCTCGCTCGCAATTTAATGGCGGATTCCTCCAGCAAACACTGGGGGCAAGTGCGCATGCGCCGCGTTGTCGCGTGGCGAGGAACGAAGCAGGCGGAAAGGCGGATACGTGCGCAGACGATCTGCGCTTCCAACATCTCTTCGAGGCTCGTGTCGCTATAGACGGCCCATAAACCACGTGACCCCGATTGAGCAGCTGGAAACTCTCTGGAATACAGGCGCTCTGGCCGGCGCGCTCGACGCTTCCGAAATTTGTTGGCGCCAGATACAAGTTAAGACCGGTGAGGTCATCGCCTGCGAATGCCACAGAAGATAGCCCGAAACAGGTTATTTTGTTTGTTTTCCGAAGAAGGTAAGTTCGTCCGTTCATATTTTTGCTCCAAGCTGCCACCACCTACCCACTCCCGTTTAGCGTTTTGCAGCGCGATACGTTGACAAACCGATATTTGCAACCCATTTCAATTGGCGTCGAAGCGTTAGTGTACATGCTGTACAGTATAGTTTGTATCTTCTCGGGCCGAGGTCACCTCATGAAGTAGAGACGACCTAGAAGCAGTACCAGAGACGGCCGCCAACATCCCCTTTGTAACCATATTCATAATTGCGATGCAAAACAAAAATCTTAATCAATGTTAGTTCAGCAGAACCATATCATTTACTATGAATGTATTCTATGCACTACGGGATTTATCAACGCGCCCACGATTGTTTCCAATCGATATAAAGGTAAACATTTCGACATCGTTATAAACCCTACCTAAAATTAAAAACTTGGACAAATGTTCAGGTTAAGATCTTCATCTCTGAGTCTCCACATTTTCACTCATATATGAAAGACATTGCTTTTTACTGCTATATGCCATACTGGTCGTTTACAAAGTAAATAATAGGATGCATTGAGCTCACCATGTACCTGCGCCAAGTGAATTTAGTGATGCGGCCGAATCGATCGTGCGTATATCTCCAAATCTCAACTGGACTTCTTCGTCCTTCCCTACTGGCTCATGTGCCATCGAGGAATAAATATGTGTAGGACAACTGTGGATGTGGCTTGAAATTTACCTAATATGTATTCGTGTATTATATTTACTTTCTTTGGGGCAGCAAAGAAAATAAAGGAATATTACGCGCACAACGAGACACTTTTAGCGCGAGCACGACCTTCGCCTTTTTATTGTACTAAGACACAGTAATGACAACCGCACAATTTCTGTTTTTGTGCGTCATTTTTATAATTTATAACCACAGTTTCCTAGCTAGAGCTATCGCAATAGGCACTTTACTCCTAACTGTAAGCTTCTACTACAACTCTCAAGTTCTTAAAAAAAACAAGGAAGAGAAAAACATAGCCAGCTGGGCGTAAGACGTATTTTTTCTATCGTCAGCAGTGACACACACCATGCCTTTAAGGGAGGTTGATCTCGAGAAGGCGTTTAACCGTGTGGCGCACGATATTTTGCGTTGGATTTTGGATTTTGTTAACGTGGGTGACGTAACTCGAGATAATGTGGCTCTGGCTTATCGAAATTGTAGTACAAGATAAAATTGTAAACAATAATCTGGGGGCCCCCATTAGATTAGAACGTGCGGTGCGCCAGGGCTGCCCCTCAGTCCGCTTTTGTTTTGTATTTATATAGAAGCGTTATGTTTAAAGATCGAGAACTGTGTAAACATTTAGGGTTTCCATCTACGTGGGTCAAAAGTTAGCTTTTGGCCTACGCAGATGACATCGCTCTTTACTGCACGAACAAAGAGAGTGTCGAAAGAGTTGTTAAGGAAGTTAATGGTTTTTCGGCAACCACTGAGAGCAGTGTAAATTGGGATAAATGTATCGGGTTCTGGCATGGGTATTGGTCTTCAGGTCCAAGTACGTTTGCAAAAGTCAGATGGAGTTCAACCCCCGTCAAGTACCAGGGAGCTCCCCTTGACTGTTATAAAAACAGCGAGCAGTATTGGCGGGTGCAAGATCATGAAACTGAAGATAAAACTAAAAAATGGAAAGGAGAGAGTCGCTCTATGTTTGCCAAAGCCACAGTCTGCAATTTATTTTTTTGTGCCCAAAATATGGTTTGTTATGCAAGTGTTGCATTGTTCCCGAGTTACCGTTCAAAAATTCCATCGAGGGTTGCTGTCGTTATCTGGGCGTCAACCTGGGTCAGATGTCCCAGGGACAATCTGTTCAGACGAGTCCAGGACCGAGGACTCCGTTTGACCCAGCTGTTTGTCTGCCAGTTGGTGAACAGATTTCTGTTTTTTTTTTCGTAACACCTCTGACCCATTCCTGCGAACTGTGTGTCAGATGAGGTTGGCGCGTGCGCTGCCTCAGCTCATAGTGTTATGAGCTGAGGCAGCGCACGCGCCATCTGTTGGTTCATAATCACACTAACCCCTGGTTAGTGTGATTATGAACCAACAGATGGCGGTGGGATCGCCTTCCAG